CAAAAAAAAAAAAAAAAGAAGTCCCACTGACCCATACAGGATCTCAACCTATAAGCGTTGTACTCTTGAGAACAAAACGCTCCTTTTCAGTTAGAGTGATCGGAGTTAATCTCTTTCAGTTCTTATTTCAAGATAGGGACGATATGCAAAAGGTCTTGAAGGGGAAACAATGGTCGTTTGATGGACAGTACTTGCTGCTGAAGGAATGGGTAAAGGACAAGGTGAATTTCAGCAAAGAGGAATTGAAAGTTTCGTTATGGGTTCAAATCCACAATTTGCCGCTGCATTGGATTTCAGCTGAAGCAGGAATGAAAGTGGGAAGAATATTCGGGAAAGTGCTTGATGTTGTGGTTCCGGTGGTGGGAAATGTTAATGGGAGAATTGTTAGGATTTTGGTGGAAGTGTCAGTAACAGAACCATTACCAAGGGGGACTATTATCAAGTTGGGTGCTGAGGAAAGGTGGATCGATTTTAAGTATGAAAGTTTACTTACTTTCTGTTTTTATTGTGGCATTATTGATCACAATGATAGAGCATGTGACAACAAAAGGATAGATATTCAAAGAAATATGCTCAAAACAGGACAATATGGGGATTGGTTAAGGGGATCATTTGGGGGATTGGGGGAGTATAAAGATAAATTATCTTCAACCCCGGGTAGTGAAAAACCAGTGTCTGATGCTAGTATTGAGAAAGAGGAGAGTGGGGGAGTAGGTATTGTTAGGAGTTCTCAAAAGTTGAATGTAGCTTTGTCTGAGGATCACAGTAATCCTTCAGATAAACCGGGTAGTAGTGTGGGAGGTTGTAGCCCAGTAACCAAGGCAATTGTTGCTGACAACAATGGTGGTCAGCTGAGTTGCCAAGGGAAAAAGACTGAGCTTGCAGTTTTGATCCCCATGGAGCTGGACTCCAACTGTGAGAAAAAGGGAGATGAGTCATACTTGGTTGATATTCCTGTAGGTGATCCTCTGATTCAAGAATCAGTCATTGGTAGGAAAAAGAAGTCTTTTGTGAAAATAACTAGAAAGGTGGAGGCAGATTCTAAACTTAATCTGAGTACTGGAAAATCAGGCTTAAATTTGGACAATAAGGAAGGTTGTGGATCAAAAAGGAAACCTCCTGAGAACCCTTTTGAGGGAAATCAGGTTGTACACATTGATTTTAAAAAACAAACAACAAATGTGATTGCACTTGAAAAAATGGTGGAGGAGACCAGCCAGAAATGGTCCCCCAAGTCCAAATGAGAGCTATGGTGTGGAATTGTAGAGGTCTGGGAGGACCCTCTACAATTCTCCAGTTGAAGGCTAAGATTAGAGCCTACCTCCCAGACTTTATATTTCTATCTGAAGTTAAAAAGAAGAAAGCTTTTGTCAGTACAGTTTGTAAAAATTTAAATGTTGAAGATAGATGGGAGTTTGTGAACCCTGTAGGTAATAAAGGGGGTCTTCTTTTGTGTTGGTCAAAAAATATTTCCATTATTAAAATTTTGTCATCAGACTTTTGTTTTGAAGTTTGTTTTTGTTATGAAGGGGACAGTGATATTTTGTGGGCTGTTTTTGTGTATAATAGTAATGATATGACTGAGAGGCATGCTCAGTGGTCTCAATTGTACAGTTCTAGTGTTAAATGGGGTAAGGTTTGGTTTTTAGCTGGAGATTTTAATGATATCTTATGTAATGAGGATAAGCAGGGAGGAGTCCTTAGAGGGGAGTCTAGTTTTGCTATCTTTAGGAATTTTGTGGCTAATTTGGGAGTAGTAGAATGTCAATTTAGGGGTCATCCATACACTTGGTCTAATAATAGGAAGGGAGGGGATTTTATTGAAGAAAAGTTGGATAGAGTTTTCCTTTCCCCTGAATGGCTCTTCAAATACCCAAATTTTACTGTTTTGCATATTTCTTTAATATCTTCTGATCATAGCATGCTACTATTGGAGACAGAGAATAAAATTGGAGAAGGTAAGAAAAGATTCATGTTTGATGGAAGGTGGATTAAAATGGAAGGGTATGATGAATGTGTAAAGAAAGTGTGGGAAAAAGCTGTGAGGGGGCCTGCATTGTATTGTTTTCAGCAGAGGTTGAGGAGGGTGAAATCAGGTCTGTTGATCCAAAAATCAGAAATCAAATTCAGCTGTTAGGATCCAAGAATATTCTGCAAAATTGGAGTCTCTGGGGGTGCAAGGGGGTGATAGGGATTGGGATGAATGGTTGAGATGTAAAAAGGAATTGCATCAGGCATACAGGGATGAGGAAAGCTATTGGAAACAGAAAGCTAGAACTAGATGGTTGAAGGAGGGGGATAAAAACACCAGATTCTTCCAAGCTTGTGTCAAACAAAGAAGATTTACAAACAGCTTGGAGAACTTGGTAAAATCAAATGGAGAAAAATGCAGCAGTAAAGAAGTAATTATAGAAGAGGTGGCTACATTTTTTGAAAATTTGTTTACAACAGAAGCTGGGGAGGAAAATGTGGAAAGTTTAAAAGGCATACCTCAGACAATAACACAAGAATTGAATCAGAAACTGTGCAAACCGGTGGATGAAGGCGAGATTAAGCAAGCATTATTTGACATGGATCCTGATAAAGCACCAGGTTCGGATGGATTCTCACCTTCTTTCTTTCAATCCTCTTGGCCTCTTATTAAACAGGATTTGTGTCTTGCAGTGTCCAATTTTTTTTCTTCTGGTAGAATTCCTAAGGACACTAAGCATACTGTTATCTCATTAATACCCAAAATGAAAAATCCTAAAAGAGTAGTAGATTTTAGACCTATCAGTTTGTGTTCTGTTACCTATAGGATTATTGCTAAAGTGTTAGCTAATAGGATTAAGCCTGTCTTGAAATTTTGCATATCCCAGTTTCAATCAGCTTTTGTTCCAGATAGACAAATCCTTGATAATGTCAGTATAGTCAATGAGTGTATTCATTTCTTGAATAGTAAGAAAAAAGGTAAAAAATGCTATATGGTCTTAAAATTAGATATGGCAAAAGCTTATGATAGGGTTGAGTGGGGTTTTTTGCTAAATGTATGCAGGGCAATGGGGTTTTGTGAAAAATTTTGCTTCTGGCTTTGGTCTTGTATCAGTGGTAACTCTTTTTCATTTAATCTCAATGGTCAGCTTGTAGGGAATGTAAAGGCATCCAGAGGATTAAGACAAGGGGACCCTTTATCCCCCTATCTGTTTATAATCCTGTCAGAAGCCTTATCAAACCTTATAAAGCAGGTCTGCATTAATCAAAAATTCCAAGGAATAAAAATAAGTAAGCATTCCCCTACTGTATCCCACTTATTTTTTGCTGATGATTCCCTAATCATGTGTCAAGCAGATCTTACTCATGCCAATATGCTACTTAGTATTTTGAAATCCTATTGTACAGCCTCGGGTCAAGCCATTAATATGACTAAGTCCAGTATCTTTTTTTCCCCAAGTTCTTCTTCAGAATTGAAATCTTCTATTTGTAATATTTTTTCTGGGATTGGAACTGTGAAATCTTCTAAGTACTTGGGTCTCCCTTTAGGAATTGGAAAAACAAAAAAAGAGATTTTTAGTTTTGTTAAGAATTGTGTTATTTCTAAAATTTCTAGCTGGAAAAATAGATTTTTGAGTGAGGCAGGGAGAGATGTCCTTATTAAATCAGTTCTTAATGCTCTTCCTGTGTATGTCATGTCTGTATTTAAGATTCCTGTGGGTGTGTGTGCAGATATTTGTAGGTTTATTGCTAGTTTCTGGTGGGGGCAGGGTGATAATGGTAAAGATAGGATTCATTGGGCTAATTGGGAGAAACTTGCTAGGCTGAAGAGTGAGGGGGGCATGGGATTCAAACAGTTTGGGGCTTTAAATGATGCTTTAATCCTAAAACAGCTATGGAGGATTTTAACTTGTCCTAATTTGTTGATGAGAAAGATAATTAGAGGCAAGTATTTTTACAAGCAAAATTTAATGACTGTGGAGAAAAAGAATTATGATTCATGGATGTGGAAGTGTTGGTTAGAAGTTAGGAAGTATTTGAAGCCAGTTTGTGTATTTGAAGATGATAAAACAAGGTTGCACACAGTATCCGATCTTTTGATGGCAGGAGGAAAATGCTGGGATGAAGAGCTTGTGAGACAAACCTTTTCTCCATTGGATGCAGAGAATATCCTTAAAATTCATATTAGCCAATGGGGAGTGAGGGATAAACTAATATGGGATGCTGACAAGAAAGGGCAATACACAGTCAAAGGGGCCTACAAATTGATTCTGAACATCAACAAGAAGTTGACGGCCAGGGATAAGCCAAGTGGAAGCACAGAGCCATATCAGAAAATGTGGAGAAGAACATGAGACTTACCAGTGAAACAGAAGGTTAAAACTTTTATCTGGCGACGTTGGCATGATTTTTTGGGAACAAAAATAAATTTAGTTCATAGAGGAGTGGCAGTTGATGAGATTTGTGCTGTGTGTGGGGTAGAAAAGGAAGATATGGAGCATGTATTTTTCAAATGTGAGAGAGCAGTTAGAGTTTGGAGAATAGCAGGATTAGAGTGGACGCAAATAAATTTGCCATTAGTCAAATTCCAAGAATGGTGGAATGAGGAACAGAATTACAAGGACAGAGTGAGTCTATCCACTTATATATTATGGTGGCTATGGCGAACGCGAAATAATTGGATTTTTAGAAGGGAGCTTCTTGAGGAGAATCAGACAGTGCATAAAGCAAAACAAGAATGGATTGAGTTTGAGGAAGTACAACAAATGAACAGAACAGCTGGTAAAAAGGAAATAACTTCAGATGGGAGCACAGGAGTAGGGCATCCAAATTCTGATGTCAGTGCTATCTGCTCACACATTGAAGACACCATTCTGTTAGGCAAGGCTTTTAAAAATGAGGAGGAGATTGATATATGGCAGATACCTAAAGAACATAACAAGATCAAAGAGGAAAGATTATTGCTGCTGGTGAGAGAATGGTTGGGAAAAGGGGTTGCTTCTGGATGGGATAAAATAGTGCTGAGATTTAATGATACTAGCTTAAGCAAGAGGTTGTCAAACCCTGCATGCTTTCCTGTTGGACTTCAAGTTATTGTAGAAGACATCTTATTTTTGTGTGCTTTGTTTTCTTCTTGTTCCTTTGGTTAGTCAGTGTGTTCTTTTATTTATTGGACCGATGTGGTCACTTAGGGAGGCTATAGTGTTTATGTCTCTCGTGAGTGCTGTAATAGATATATGTCTCTTATGGCATTCATAGCCCGTTGGCTGTTCGAATTGTCTTGGACAGGTGAAGCTTTTGAATTAATGAAGAAAAAAAAAAAAAACTCTTGAGATAACTATCACTAAATATTTAAATTTTAACTTATAATTAACAATCATGCATAGACAAACGACTGGTGTTTGTAAATCCATGGCTCGAATTATCAACGACAAAATAATTTGGAAAAGATCACACAAAACTTGAAGTTGCTGAAGGAGCAATAAGCCAATAATGGAAGAAATTAGTCAACAGTGTGCTATATTGATTGAGTTCACATGGCTTATTCATTTGGGTCCTTTTCTTGTATGGTTTAGTATCATTTTGGGTAATTCTGAAAAGACGGAGAAACTTTTTTGTTTGGTAGTGAAATTATGGAAATGCATATAAGTTAATTTTAATGTAGATATGATTGGTTTCAACCTTTATTTTACTTCAGTAAAATTTTTGTTTCTATAATTATTCGTTAAAGTTCGCCTTCGAATTTTTTTAATAAGCAAGTTTACCATAAAAACAAGTTTACCCAAATTGTTTGATAGTCTATGCAAAATTGTTCGAGCTTGAAAAATAATATTTATGATATTAAAAAATGTATATTGCTAACAATTACGAAATTAAAAAATGTATATTGCTCTTTTCATAATTTTGTATTAAAAATATTATGCATGCATAAAAATGAATAAATTATATACTGGATTGATATTTGCATACATTTGATAATATTTGCGAACATTCTCATGTTCATTTGATCAACAAATGAGCCTAATTTTTCGATTGAGCCCGGCTTAAATAGTAAATAAACAAGCTCAATCAAATGCCCAATGTGTTTGCAGCTCTACCCATCGGCAATTAAATTCTTTGGTTTGGAATAGAGCAAGCATATCTATTAATATATAAAGAGGCAACAAAAAAAATCTANCTAAAATCATCTTAAATCCCGCCTAAAAATATAACTAAAAATAGAAACTCTTTTGAAATTTTTCGCAATATGGCGCCACTTATTAAATCATTTGAAATTTTCAAAAATTTGAAAATTTTTGTCAATATCCAAAATTTTCAATTGTTGTTTGAAATTTTTAGAATTTTTCTAAACAAATCAATTTTAAGACATTTTTTAATGTTTAAACGAATCACTTAACAATATCGTTTTCCAAAGCATATCAATATTATTTTTTTTGTGGACACTCCCAAATATATTGCAGCATAAATAACAAACCCACTTTAATTTTTTCAAAGTCAATCAGCTTAAATAGCCATGTTTCAATTTAATTAAAGTCATGATTCATTTACTTTGAGCAATCCGAATTTGTTTTTTTCATTTACTTTGTGTAAAGCTGCTCAAATTTTGGATATTTATTTTGTCCATATTTATCTAACTAAACAATATTTTTAAAGTTTGTACAGAATTTTAAAGTGATAAATATTTGTTTGTCCATATTTAACTAATAAAATGATATAAAAAATTTGGAACGAATCCTCCGTTTTTAACCGTAGCTCCTTGAATTAAGATTTTATTTTTGTTCACTTCAAAATCAATATCCTTAATTACGAAATCTTATTTTTCACAATTGTTCATTGCCGAAAAAATTCTTTCAATTATCCCAAAAGATCCACATTCTTAATACGTGTCTTTATTAATCCTAAAAACATTGTAAATAATTAAAAAAGTGTGATATTCTTACAAATCTGATTAGTTTTTATTCTGAATTATTCTCTTAATTATGCATTTGTTAGTTGGTGATTTATATCTTTTCTTTTTAAATATGATAATGCTGTTCAAACTTTCAATCCAAATCTTTCCAGAAGTCGATAAATTTATTTAAAGAAAAGATTACTTTCCCATTAATATTTAACTAAATTTAATTGTCTAAATTAATTTAATAGTATAATATACCAAAAAGTATTTGTCTATTAACATATAAAAAAGGTGAAAGAATTACCTAAAATAGTATGTATCCAGCTTAAATTTGGGTTTTTAATATTATTGTATTGAAAAAAAAAATCGTGAATTCTCTCCCAAAGCACATTTGATGTGGATTCTNTTACTGCATTATAGAAATTATAAACTTAGTAATGTTTTTTACAAAATTTTTAAAATTACTAAACTTAGTAATGTTTTTTACAAAATTTTCAAAAATTCGGGCCTCAGAGAAATTAATTAATTAATTTATGTATAAAGTTGGCACAATTAATAAATCCAATTTTGGTATGCAGTGGACGATTTTATTTGAGGTATCTGATGACCATTTTTATTTTTTTGGTAGGAAATGTGTTGTTATGAATAAATATCCAAATATATGATATAAAGTGGGCGATTTTATTTTCGTATGAAATGTCTGAATATAAATGGTATGAATTTTATTTGGTATAGATAGATCATAGAGTGTATTTGGAAGTTTTGAAAACAAATAAGTGGTATGAATTTTATTTGGTCTGTGTATGAAAGTCGAATTATAGGTTGATTTGTTATAAAAGAAAGATGATATGATTCTCAATTTTTAGCATATTCCCATAATAATTTGCCATAAGATATTGATGATAATTCGACAAATTGGTATGTATTCCTTTTAAGATCAGAGAGATATTTGAACAAATATTGGTTAATAAAATTTAAAATTTGTAATTTAATTCTTCAGAATGTGTTGATAAATTAGAACAATAAGGTAATCGACAACAAATCTAGAAAATTACGATAAAATATATATGTGAAATATATAATGTAATTTATTGTGTAGTCGAAATTTGGGTTCCAAACTTAAAAGTCAAATAAGTAATTATTCATAACATACGAGTCAATATTAACTTGGACGTAAATGGAATAGTCAATTATTTATTGTTTAATACATTATTCAACTACTTAAATTTTTTGATGTGGATAGTCTATACAAAAATAAAATCACATTAATTAATGAAACAATATAAGTGTTATAATTATACTTATTATCCACATAAATTTTTAAATATATGATAAAATTTTACCAAAATAGTTATTTTATGGAATCATATCGTAGTCATATCGAATTCTGAATAAAAATTTAAAAATGATACTTTTCTAAAATTATTATAATGCAATTTATTATAAGTTACTTGCACCGTACAGGTTGTGTACTAATTTTAAATAGACATATTTTATATAATTTTGCATAATTTAAATTTCATATAACATTTTTAATAAATATAAATTGTATTATATATTGATTCTATATTTCAATTTATAATTATTATTTAATGACATTTTTAATTTATAAATATAGATGAATAAATATTATCCGTGCATGGCACGGGATTTGTAGTAGATCACCATACACCAGAGATTGATCTATCCACCCATCGGACACATATTTACTTATTATTATATACCAATGTTCAGTTTAGGCTACATTTAACTTCTAGTGAGGAAAGTAATTCATTAGAGTGCATTTAATTATGTCTTATCAATGTTATCGATGATTATTTGGAGGCATTTCCAATGTGAAAATCCTGCTTAATTAATAGTGCCCTATCTTTTACAACTCTGTTTTTCTGAGTTGGTGTCTAGCAAATTAAACAAGTGTTGTTCATGAAAAATGTGGTTAATGGACAACCTTTCGTCTAAAGTTCTCTCTTCTGAGAAATGACAGCAAGCCAAAGGCAACCCCTCTATTTAAAGATACCTAAATAGTGAGAGATACCCAACTACATACCTAAAATCAAATTCCATAACATATCAAAATTTCAATCACATATGACTGAGGAAAAGAAAAAGGGCATAATTCACACACCAACCCGTTTTAGCAAAAACTGCAACTTTAGTTGACCGGAATACCTTCCGAAGTGGATCTTTCTCCATCTTGTTTAGGCAAGTTTTTCCAGTTCCACACAACTTGCATTAGTCCACCATTACCAACATGCAGGAGGAAATCACTATTTCCTCCAGGGAAGTATTTGGACACAAACTTCACAATAACAAAAAAGACGTATACGCCCAAAAAACGCAGAGTAACATGTTCATCCTGCGAAAAGAAGATCAATTATTTGCAAGTAGAATCTAAAAATTCAATAAGCTGGAAGACTTTTACTTGACGAATAAGTAATTGTGATTCTACATCGACTCTTACTGTCATTGGTCCTGCAAGAATCAAAATAACAAGCTTCGTGTAATCTGGGACTATAAACTAATAAACTTTTTTAATTAAGTCATTATTAAGTCCCTACTTTATGGTTCTAAGAAGAATATGCAGAATCAGGACTAGAAACTGACATTTGAAAATGCTAAAAATTACTCTTTTGCAGACCAGAAGCAAAAGTTATTTATGAACTTTTTCTCTTCCCATTGTTTATTCCTTTTCATAATCAGATACACTACAAACAGCGAGGTAATATTCATAAATGAACTTTACTTTGTTCTCAAGCACAAGTTCTTGAGATATCTGATCAAGGTACTTGGCCAGCAAAGTTCGACAAAAAGACCGAAAGGAATCACCAACTCTTTGTTTCTTGAGATAGAGTATGGAATATCAAAAATGCAACTAAACCCGAAAAATGCAAGCAAAGACCACTTCAATGTCTCTTTTCCAAAGACAAGTAGCTTTTGAAGTGCAATACTCTCGGCTTTCTCCCAAGGAAACTGTTTAACCGAACAAGGGATGGATGCCCATAATTTGTCCTTGGTGTAATTTAAGAGAGCTAATCGCTTACTGGGATCATTAAAGTCTTCCATCATTGGAAATTTAGCAGAATACGTGACTAATACACGTTGCCTGGGGGTGATTTTCGGAAAGGAAGAACAAAGTTGACTCACTTGGCTTTTAGCTGATGCAATCTGCAAAAAACGTGAAAGGGCCATGAGAAATTGTCTTCATTGATAACAGTGCAATTTTTGCTACTTTCAGATGGCCAAGCCATGTTGCAACGAATGTAAAAGTTATGTACTTCCCAATTTTGAATAAATGATACAACTAAATTAGCTCTTATCAATTCAAAATTCAAAGTATAATGCAATCTTACACTAGATGCCAACTAAGTAGCATTTATCATTCCAGACCACCTAAGAGGATAAACGAACATCATTGCAAACAAAAGCAAGGCATCAAGAAAATCAGTTTTGGTAGGCCAATATTAGTTTCCTCCTGCGAATGTACTTTAGATATTATAAATCTAAGTTCATACAGATCTTTTGTTTCGAGAAATTTGGTAGGAAATTATAAAATTGTCCACAATTATCAAATAAGTTAATTCATAAATATTGCCGTTGGAGGCATGAGAAGGATCACGTGATAAGTCTCGAGTCTTTCAGACTACTTCTTTAGTAATAAATGCTTCATAGTGACCTCATGCAACAAACAGCTGACCAATCTAATTCAAGTGATGATTTCGAAATGCAGATTACCGTAAATTTAACCATTTTACATAAATTCTATGACTAAAGAAGAAACAATTTAGTCCAAGATCAAAGTAACAAAAGAATTGAGTTCTTGTCAACTATAAAGTCATGCTAGATTATGGTCATTTTAAGTAACCACACAAACCGTCCCTCCAGATCTTATTTTTCAAAACCGTGCATCAATTGGTTTGGAATGTTTGTAACACATTAAATTCAATACCAAGTATGATACTAAATTCAACAGAGTCCGAATAAAATGCTCAAAAATTCATCTGAATGAATTCGACATTCAACTCAATTTTCAGTAACAAGCAGAGTAAGTTTTACACGTGAAATTCAGTACAATATAATCCAATACAAAAATAGACACAACAACTCATCAATCTATGTAATTAGATAATTACTCGAAACCAACCATCCAGAATTAGATAATCCACACATCTTCTTTACCTAAAAGTAACGCAGATTGCTGAGTGAAAATCTGTGCAGAGTAAAATATACTAACACATTAGCTAATCATCATTTTTTTAGGAGCAACACCACGTAACATAATTGAGAGAGGGAGCAGACCATGTGAATAATATAAGGGATAGATACACAGGTAAGACATGAAAAATAAATGGCTAAGCTTATGGTTCCAAGAAAATTCAAATGTCATCTGCTAATCTACTTCACAATATCAGCATTAAGGCCATTCTCTAACCTAAAATTTCCTAGAAATAAAAATTAATTTATAAATCTCGGAGATTTAAACAGCAAAGTGTGGCAGTATTCAAACTTCCATGAAGAAACAAATCCACCCTGTTTCCTAAGGTTTTCCATTCTAAAATTTCTACTAAATTTTCGAAGTTGAATGATTCTTGAACAGCTCAAACTCACTCTATATCTCTTTCGCGCACGCCACACACACACACATATACAAGAGAACAGACATTCAGCTAACTTTAGAACCACAAAATTAGGAGATAATGAAAAATCGAATTAATTGAGGAAAACAAATAAATTTACCGAAAGTTTTGAATGAATGAGTGTCGACGACGACGGGAACACCATTTTTGCGCCGCCGTCTAATGCTGGTGGCAGCGGTAAAGGCATGATAGGCAAAATTGTGTCTCGAATTCTTAGACAAGATAACTACCCGGATCCACCCGACTTACTTAATACCAAACCGGGTCGGACAAGTGGTCGAACCGATCGAATTGTTTTAATTAATATATAATTTTTATTTATTTTGTATGGATAATATACAATTTATATATTTTTATCTTTAATTTTTAGTGTGTAATGACATATTTTTAAATATATAAAGGAAAAAATATAAATAATAGTGCATATTATATTTATTTTAGCTATCATGCTTGATTCCAAGTGTAGGGTTTATAATTAATATGTATTATTTTATTTTTTTTATTTTTTAGAAAAAGATTTTTTGATGGTTTTGGGGATGACAAATATTCTTGGCTAAAGTACATAGAGACGCCTCAAAATAAAGCTAATATCTAAAAAGCGAGATGCAAAAGTTAATCACAATTTTACGAGCTCCTTCAGTTTTAGGACTTCCGAAACGTCACTATTATAACCTTGTCAGACTTGACACTTTTTTGAGTTTAAAGAGTAACTAGTACGACACCCGTGTACTACACGGGTTGTTTGGTAAAAATAATATAAAATAACAAAATAATAGAAAAAACACATGTTGTTGTATAAAAACAAAAATAGAAAATACTAAAATCGATATTATTTCAAATTTTGAATAGATAAATAAAATTGTAAACACACCCGTGCGAAAAAGATATTATTATTATTTTAAATATATATATTAATGAATATATAGGTTAATATATTGGTTAACATACACACACACACACACATATATATATATATATAGGGGATGGATCCAATGAGACCACTCCTTAAAATGAGTACGTGAGACTCAATCTTAGCCACTCATTTTGTCTAGATCAAAATCAATTAAAATATACATTAATTAAATAATAAAATAATTATTAGTTGACTCCGGCGTTGAACGTTGACTTCCGGCGAGAATCGTTGACTTCTGGCGTTGACCGTTGACTTCCGGCGTTGACCGTTGACTTCCGGCGTTGACCCGTTGTATTGAAATAAATAACCTAGCAACAAAAGACACTCAACCTTGAGTGGTGTAGTGGTTGCATTGCTTGTCTTGCCTCCATGAGGTACCAGGTTCAAATCATATGGGTTACAATTTTTTTATAAAAAAAAAAATACAACTAACTTAGCAACATCAGACAACTAACCTAGCAACAAAACACAACTAACTTAGCAGCAACAGACAACTAACCTAGCAACAAAACACAACTAACCTAGCAGCAAGAAAGAACAACTAAACTAGCAACAAAGACAACTAACCTAGCAACAAAACACAACTAACCTAGCAGCAAGAAAGAAATAACCTAGCAACAAAAGACAACTAACCTAGCAGCGAAAAGAAATAACATAACCTAACAATAAAAGACAACTAACCTAGCAGCAAGAAAGAACTAACCTAGCAGCAAGAAAGAAATAATCTAGCAACAAAAGACAACTAACCTAGCAGCAAGAAAGAAATAACCTAGCAACAAAAGACAACTAACCTAGCAGCAAGAAAGAAATAATCTAGCAACAAAAGACAACTAACCTAGCAGCATCAGACAACTAACCTAGCAACAAGAAAGAACTAACCTAGCAACAAAAGACAACTAACCTAGCAGCAAGAAAAAAATAACCTAGCAACAAAAGACAACTAACCTAGCAACAAAACTCAACTAACCTAGCAGCTACAAATAACTAACCTAGCAACAACAAACAACTAACCTAGCAACAAGACACAACTAACCTAGCAAGAAAGAAATAACATAACAAAAGACAAATGGTCAACGGTCAACGCCGGAGTCAACGGTCAATGGTCATAATAATATTTAAATAATTAAAAATAAAGAATTAAATAATAAAAATAAAAAATTATTATTTAAATCAAGATCTAAATCTTGTGGCTAGGAATGAGTCTCACATTCTCACTTTAAATAATGGGATGCATTGAAACCAATCCCTATATATATATATATATATATATATGTGTGTGTGTGTGTGTGTGTGTGTGTGATCAACATATATGTATGTTTAATATATATCTTTGTCGTGTGATTAAAGTTGCCTGAACATGTGTTCATTTGTATATTATCTTGTCATGTTGTTGTTTCGATTGTGATGAAAAAGTATTAAAAAAGTTCAAACTTGATTCGGCTCATTTATACTTTTTAAGAATAATGATTAACATTTAGGAATCTAGTAAAGAAATAATAGGGCAAGATTTAGAAAATTTAACCCGTCCAATGGGAGAGAGAGATGCATCCTCATTCATTAAAATTTTCAATTATTATGAGCTTGCAAGGATGTTTTGTCAAAATCTAAGAGTCCAATCAAATCCAATTTATTTCGTACTATTAATTTTGATTGTGTAGCCCAAAAGGGATTTCGGTGAATTTTGGATAAGAATAGTGATAATTTTTTTTTTTTAAGGAATTAAATATACTATGATAAGGATAAGAATCCTATTAGGAAGATATAAGAATAAGAATTCTATTTAGAGTTGGAGTCTTCTTTATTTTGGAATATAATTGTATTAATTTTTATCCGAACCAAATACCGAAGCATGTAATGTTGCCAAGTAGCTTCCGAAGCATGCGAGCCAGCCATTTAGGCTCAGCGCGTTTTCAAATTATATTAAGGAGGGATTACCATTTTTATGCATTAAAACTTAATTAATTTCAGCAATAAACGTTGTTAATGACCAACTCATACTATTAGCTCATTTTCTCTCTCCAATAAGTATATCAAATAATTAAATTCCACATTTAAATTTATGTATTTTTTTATTTTAAATGGCTCCAATCTCTTTTTTTTTTAACCCTTTTTGTGTGTTCTCTTAGGTTTTCATCTCTAGCCTACCCGACTTGCTTGGGACCAAAGACTTTGTTGTTATTGTTATTTTAAATTTTTATATTTATAAACCAATTTTTCTACCATAATTTTATATCTAGATTGTTTTAAATTTATTATAAGTGTGTAAACCATTACAAGAATACTTTTTAAATTTATTATAGGTTTATAAAACATTACAAGAATATAAACTATAAATTTAAATTTATATATAGTTTATTTTCAGTTTATTATACAAGAAAAAATCACTTAATTATACATGAAAAAATTATATAGGATTTATTTTCAATTTATTATAATTATAAAATAATACTTTTATCCACAGAAAAATATAAATTTATATATATTTTATTTTCATAATACGGCTATTGATAAACATAATAAAATCATAGATAAACATTAAAACACTCAAAAAAAACAACTTTAAAAAAACTTTCGGGAATTAACACACGAAATGAAAAACCTAATAAAATCATAGATAAACATCAAAACACTCAAAGAACTAGTTTAAAAAAACTTCCAGAAATTAACAAACGAAATGAAAAATCTAATAAAATCATAGATAAACATCAAAACACTCAAAGAACTACTTTAAAAAAACTTCCAGAAATTAACAAACGAAATGAAATCATAGATAAACATCAACATCAAATTAACACTAAAAAGCTACTTTAATTTAGTTTTTTTTTCTAAATATTAACATACATAAATTAGAAAAAAAGGAAATCGAAGCCATAAATAAAAAAAAAAAAGAAACGCAGCCCATCACTTTTTCGATCTTCAAATCCCCATTTTCAGCTCTCTCAAGCTTCTGTTTTCTCGACCTTTGCAATCAGCTTCGCCACAAATCGAGACGAATACACGTACAGTGCAAATAGTCAAAAAGCATCCGCGCGTCTACTTTGGCGACTCATGGGATTCCATCTGAATGAGCACGCAAGCATTTTCATAACTCAGAAATATAGGCTTTAACAACACAAAACTCATTCCATGATTCATATTTCAGGTAAAAAATATTTAACTAAAATAAACTCAAGATAAACATCAAATTAACTCTAACAATCTACTTTCAAAGAACTTTTTAAAAATTATTCAAGAGTGATCCAATAAGAGCTCTCGAACAGACCATGGACTCGCTAGAATTCTATCTTCAAATCAGATCTTAAATCCATAACAAAAAAAAAAAAATTAAAAATTTCCGAAACCCTAAATCACTAACCCANAAAAAAGAATTAAAAATTTCCGAAACCCTAAATCACTAACCCAAACCTCGAGGCGGCAGACGTTGCCGGCGGCGGGAGTAGGGAGACGGTAAAAAAAGTTGTGATATTAAATCCAGAGGTGCTGCTGGAATTCTATCTTCAAATTTTCAGATCTTAAATCCAACAACTCATACATCTAGATCAATCAATGAAACCTCCACAAGAAAAAAAAATTAAATTTTGTGAAACCCTGATTAACCCACACTTCGAGAGGGAGACGATCTCGGAGACAGAGCGAGATGGCGCAGAGATGCAGACCCTCCGCTAGCGTCGGGAATCACCCCATGGCCAGAAAGGCGGAGCCCGAAGGATATGGCTGCTGTTTGTCCCATTTTTGTTGCGTTTTTTCTTGTTATTTTTGTTTTCTTTTTCCCCCATATTAGGTCTTTTAGTTAGTTTTTATCTCATTTTGTAGTTTATTGCGTGTTTTCTTCTATCTTGGTTTTTCTTGTGTTTTCCGTATGTTTTTCTGGTTTTTCTTCGTTTATGGTGTGCAGGTCGAAAGATTCGAGAGAATTTATTTTTCATGATAAGTGAGTTGGGTGAATGTCATTAAGTAGATGGGTTCGTTGGCTACAAGTAGGAAAAAGCAGAATTCGATTTCGAGTTCGGAAGAGTCCGGACGGGCCCGATATGTGAAGTCGTGCACGGAAGCCGTCACCTTCAAGTCAAAAGCTTCGAGAGAATAGGTTTTGAAGAATAAGTTGGATTTAAAAGCACAAATACGTAGAAGGCTTCGTTAGCGATGCATAGGAAAAAACGGAACTCAATTCCGAGTTCGGACGAGCCCAAACGAGCCCGAAACGCGTAGCCCAACCAGCAGCCCCGCGCGCCGCGGCGCGACAACACTCCGCGGCGCGGCACAACACGCCTTCGCGGCGCGACAACACCTCCGTGGCGCGACACCAGCTTCCTCCGCGCCGTGAAGACATCCCACGCCGTGGAACTCC